TCGCTCTCCAGAGGCACCCGTTCGCTCCGTAGCACCACCAAGCGAACCCTCTGCTGCGGTAGCGATCGTTGCCTGCGACTGCAAGTCGGTGATCACTTCTCTCCAAGACGAGAACAGTCGTCTCAAAGAAGAGCTTCGGGTTGCAAAAATGGCTCTGGACGAGTATGCAAGCAAGGTGCAGCTTCTCGAAGCTGCCTTGCGCGCACCGGACGCCGAGTCACTGGCTTCGCCCAGTGGCGAAGACATTGATCTCAACACTGCGTCGACAACGATTTCCCCAACAGAAGCTCCTCGTGTCCTCCCGGTAGCCGACGTCGAGCCATGCAGCCGCGCAGCCACGACGGCGCTGTCGTCCGAGGAGGTCGTTCCAACACCTTTGTCCGCGGTATCACGGTCGCCGACACAACGCGATGATGTGAGCCACGCAGGCCTCGTCAACCTCGGCAACACGTGTTACATGAATGCCATTCTGCAGTGCCTAGCACACACACCGCCACTGGTCGACGCGCTGTTGTCACAGCAGAGCGAGTCAAACACAGCCCGTGCCCTCGCACGAGTGGTATCGGGCATCCTTGCCAACGACGCGGCTTCATACCGCTGCGACCAAGAAGCCTTGATGCCTCCGTTCCACTCGGCGTCGAGGCAGCAAGATGCCAGCGAGTACCTCGCGTGGCTTGTCTCGGATCTCCAAGTCGCTTCGACGATCCCCGAGGATGTTTTCGGCTCGTACTGGACAGCGACGAGCACCTGTCCCCACTGCGGCCTCGAGTCCGAGGCGTCGGAGGCCTACCGGGACATTTCATTGATCGCGGAAGAGACGACCTCGGTCGCGGCTGGTCTCGCAAACTTGGCGACGAAAACGCTTCGGCGGACGTGCTACCGCTGCCATATCTTTGGCACGTCTAAGCAGCACTGGGCGATACTCCTCGCGCCGCCCGTGCTCGTCCTCACTCTCAACGCGACCAACTACAACGTAGAAAACACCAGTCATGTGGTCGTGGACGAGATGCTGGTGCTGGGTGCAGTGCATTACCGCCTTGTCGGTCTTGTCGGTCATCGCGGTGCCTCGGTCCTCGGTGGCCACTACGTCGCCTGCGTGCGCCGGTCGAATGGCTGGCTGTGTATGAACGACGCACTCGTCTCGGTTGTGTCGCCCTGCGCCGTTTTGGCCCAACGCGCCTACGTCCTCTTTTACGAACGCATGGCCGACGAGTCGTGAACCAAGATGCTATCAAGTCCCACCAACCAGGTCGAACCTCCACATTGCGTCATGGACGAATAGCGTCCATTCGCAACGTACACTGGCGATTTGGACGACGAACGTCCATCCTAAGATAATACACTAAGACGCCAGAGCTAGGTTCCACCGTTGATCTTTTATGTTGTGCATCATGATGCACCAGTTGCGAAACGCTATGCACGAATTGTACCCGGACCATGCGAGCAACTCAACCGACGTCGATTGGATCGTATGCGACGCATGGCTCTTGAACGCTGCAACATTCAGTGCCGTCAGAAATGGACGCGATCAAAGGACCCTAACCTCGTTCTGGGCCATTGGACGATCGACAGACGCTCGTGCGAGAAAAAACAAAACACTTCAACGCGGCGTGGAAGGACGCGCGACCGTACGATTCCTGTCGGCCCTTTTTGTAGCTTTCTGCTAGCATTCTTCTGTGGTTCGTCGGGTCAAGCAGTGCCGCGACCGACGGGACGCCGACTCGGACCCGTCGATAGTGTTTACGTCGCTTTGCTCAACGAGCGGTGGCAATCGCATCTGGATTGCTGACATATCATCCGCCGTTGATTTCCGAGTATTTCGCTCGTTGCGATTTATGGCCCACTTGATCATCATCTCCTTGACATCAACTGGCGGCGATTCCAAGCTCCAACGCTCGGCTCGTCGTGGTCCCTGTACACCACCTCCGCGCTCTCAAGGTCCAAACGTCGATGACCGTCTTGGTCGCATCAACGTTGCAGTAGCCAAATAGAATCTGTCTGCAGCCACTGTTTGAACAGCGTTATTCGATTTTCCATCGATTCCCATAATCAAGCGAAGGCAAAGGTTCGAATTGGAACCGCCATTTCGCATTGCGCCGCCTCGACGTCATGGAGGACTACATCGTGCTGCGGCCGCTCGCCAACGCCATCTACGGGCGCATCCTCCTCTGTCGACACGTCTCGACCCAGGCGCGCGTCGCCATCAAGCTCCTCGACATGGCGCATGCGACCGCCCACACGACCGTCGCCGACGGCCACACGGTCGACGAGAACGTCGTGAACGAGCTCGCCGTGAACCTCGCCGTGCGCGACGCGGGCGGCCACGACCACATTTGCCCGCTCCAGGCGCACTTCTACTGTATCGAGCACACGGACTCCGGGACGCGCACGATGCTGGCGCTCGTCTTCGCCTACTGCCCACAAAAGGAGCTGCTCGCGACGCTCTCAGCAGCAACGCGCTTTGCCGAGGCGCTCGCGCTGCGGTACCTGCATGAAATCAACGCGGCGCTGACCTTTCTGCACGCGCGCCACTTGGCGCACCGCGACGTATCGCTCGAGAACGTGCTCCTGACGGCCTCGGGCGCGTGCCAGCTGTGCGACTTTGGCTTGGCGACCGCGGCTGCGACGCATGCCTCCGCGCCGGTCGGGAAGCTACTGTACATGGCGCCCGAAGTGCGTCGCGGCGGCTCGTACGCGCCCATGCAGGCCGACATGTGGTCGCTCGGCGTCGCGCTCTTTACGATGGTCGTCGGGCGGTACCCGTTCAACGAGGCGGTCGCGACCGATGGCTTCTACGCCACGTACCGCCGGGGCGGCCTCGCGAGCCTTCTCCACGCGCACAACGCTCACATGCCGTCCGCCGACGTGCAGCACATGCTGCGGCACCTCCTTGAAGTGCACCCGCGCCGCCGATGGACCTCGATGCAACTCGGGACGTACTTGGCGACGTCGACGTCTTTCGCGACGCTGCTTCGTGGCTGCCCGATCGTCGCAACAGCCACGCCGACGCTCGCACCAAGGACGCCATTGCACATGACGATCCGGTCGCCTGAATTGTTGGCGCCGCCGCCAACAGCCAAGAAGCCATCGTTCTCAAGTCGTCTCAAGTCTTCCTGGCGTCGGTGGCGGCCGTGGCGTGCGACTGCGCCAACCTCGGCCGCGTAGAAGACCCTATCTTTTCGTCCTGCATGCGTGTCCCGTCCTCGTCGCCGTCTTTTCTATTAAATTCTAGCTTTTTCTTCTGGAGTTGTCTTTCTGCACACTCCGACTGCCACGTCATGGCATAGCCAGCCATCACCACGACGGTGGCTCACCCTAATGTAGGACACAAAGCAGCTCAAGTTGGTGCTAATACAAAGAGGATCAAATTGGTTTTAGGCCAGCGCCGCTTCCAACGCCGACTTGTACGGCTCGGGCACGCTCGACGACGCGCGAACAACCGTATGGAGATCGTCCATCGCCACGTGGCTCGTCTGCGCCGCCAGCATCCGGGCCGTGTTTTCGGCTTCAATCTACCGACAGCAGTACACATCAGACGCCGCAACGCGAAGCGCAATACCTCTTGGATGAGCACTTTGGTTGCCGGCGAGAACGCAACCACGTGGTCCAGCGACGCGAGCGCAGCCTGCGTCGACGACATCGAGAGCGCCATGGCCTTGGCCAAGAGCATGGCTTCTTCATCCTCCGACTTGGCTTCTTCGTCGTCGTCATCGTCTTCAGGGGTCGTGGCGCGGGTCTCGAGACGCTTGTAAAACAAAAGATACACCGAGTCGGACACGGACGTGGCCATCGCTTGGTTCATCTCGGCCCAGCTCGAGACCGCCAGAGTCGCGTCGTTAAACTTGATCCACGGCGCGTCGTCGTCGTCCGCAAGGTCCAAGTGGCCGCTCGACGAGTCGCGGCAGTACGAGTAGTAGTGGCCCGAGTTGGCACTCAACCCGCTGTGCACGAGCACCGCGTACAAGCCGTACCCGCGCGGCAGGTCGTCCTCGGACGCGCCCAATACCGCCGCGTCGGCCGCGTCGAGCGGCGGCAAGGTCAGGCGGGACGGAAAGCTCACATCGTGGAGGCTTTTGCACGTCTTCTGGAGCTTCCAGTCGTAGTGCATGCGCTTCAGCGTCAAAATCAAGTGGCTGGGTGGCGACACGATCGTCGAGTGCACGCGCGACTCGGCGCGGGCGTGGCAGTGGCCGCACGTAAAGTCGCCGCCCAGTGTTCGCGGCGAGACGAGCCGCCGCAGCAGCGACGGCAGCGCATGCGACGAGACACGGTCCGATGTCTGCAGCGCGCCGTGCGCCCACTCGGAGCCATAGTCCTTCTTGAAGCCAATGTGGACGTAGCAGTCGGCGACGAGCGCCCACTTGCCGCCGTCACTGTTGCCTTGGGCCCAAAAGCCCGAGGCCGTCGGGATCGACCCGTCGAGCGAGAAGCGCAGCTCCATGGGCTGCGTCGACGCGTGCAGCGGTGACAGCGGCGAGTACGTGGCCGCCGACAGCGAATTGTGGCTGCCAAACGTCGTCTCCCAATACCCGACGAGGTGGAAGCTCGTGGCGTCCGCGGTCGTCGGGTACAGGACGCCACGCACGGCGCCGTTGCCCGCTGCATTCCCATGAAGCGTAAAGCCAAACTTGCCGACGGCATCGTACACAACAGGAAGCGTCTCGGCGACGACCAGCTGGAGTGGGCCCCAGAGAGACGTGTCAAACTGGCCGTTGAGCGGGTGCTCCACAAAGCTCGAGGATGTGGTCTCCGACCCGCGCTTGTAGGCCAAAAAGAGCGGCTTGCCCGGCTGCAGATTGGCTTCCATGCCCAGAGGCGTGTGGCCGATCTTGGTATAGCGCTCTGGCACGTCGCTCCCAGAGAGAATACTCACGTCTGCAAGGCCCAGCGTCGCGGGGTTGGCGTCGCGCTTGAAGCAAATGAAGAGCGGAACAGCTTGCGCGCCGTCGTTCAGATTGCCCGACGTCCCATGCACGGTCGTGTGGAGGCACACATAGTCGTCCGGAATCGGATCCACGTCCCCGTAGACAACGCACACGTCTTTGATCGCCGGTGCGTTCGGGTCCCGGCGCACGGCCAAGTACAAATCGGCGTGGATCGGCGTCGCGACCAGCGACACGCCTGGCGGCAGCGGCGTCGACTTGCGGACGAGCAAGAGGTCCGTGACCGGGTGCTGGCTCGTCATCGTCGACGAGACGTGCGTGCCTCGCAGGACCACGTTCTTGTTGCTTTTCGCATCGCCAATCGTGCCTTCCAATGCGTCGCCGCGGAAGAGAAGGTGCGCGACTTGCGGGTGCTTGGTCGTCGCGTCCGTCCAGTGGCCGTGCAGCACGTATGTGCCGCTCGCCGCAAGCCACTGCAAGACGCCATGAATTGCGCCCTTGGTGCCAAACGAACCGCGGACACGAAAGCTGGGATGCAGCGACGGCGCAATGTGGTGCAGCTGAAGCGCCCGCTTCGAACGCTCGCAGTCGTCGCCGGCCTTCCAGAGCCCATGGAGGCGCTCGATCGTGAGCGGTCCGGGCGATGGCGCGTGGAGCGAGATGACTTCATAGTCTGAAAACTTGGGCACCATGCGCGGTGCGCGAAAGACCTCGATCGCGTACAGCGGGTTGCCGTGGCCGCGCTGGAGCATGAGCTTGGCGCCGTTCGCAGGCGCCGGTCGCAAGCCGAGATCTTCCCACTTCTCCGACTTGCGCGATTCCACGTCCGCTGCGGGCACGAGCTGGAGACCGGTGACGCACGCGCCGTGGCCACCGTCCGTGTGCGCAATGTATTGATGGTCCTACGCGTACATTTGTATCAAGTTGATACGTTCGTACGAGATGTGTACCGTCGACGCGAGATGCAACGAGTGGTCGAGGAGCTTGTAGCCCGGGCGGCCTTCCGTCACGAGCTTGAGGTCTGTAATGGGCATGTCGCTGCGGTAGCAGAGGTACACGGGCGTGCCGTCGCCTTGGTTGAGGTCGACGCGGATCGCACGGAAGCCGTCAGGCACCGTGTCGGTGCCGTACACCACGTCGAGGTCCGTGATAGGCGACCCTGTCGGGTCCCGGGAGTAAAAGAGGTACACCTGCTTCTTCCCGCCACCACCACTGCTGCTGGCATTGGTCACCGGCCGAGGGGTTTATCCAACGACGACGACGATCCCTTCTTGATCGGCGACGAGAGCAGGTTGATGATAGCGCTGCCGCCCACGTTCAAGTCGATGTCCATGCGCGTGTAGCCAGGCACATGCGGCTTGGGCTCGGTCACGTCGGCCACCTTGATCATGATGTCTGTGATCGGCGTCGCCTGCACGTCGCGCTTGACGCAGAGGTAGACGTACGGCGCATTGGTACGGTCCTTGTTCAAGTCACAGTTGAGCCGGTCAAAGCCCAGTGGGCACGGGATCGTGAGCCCCGTGCCCGTCACGCCCGTAATATCGGTGATCGGCGTGTACCGGAGCTCAATCATGTTGAGGAGGAGCTCCCAAAAGTACTCGTGCGTCACGGCCGTGTGGTCGCACGCCTTGCAGCGCCGGATCGAGGCCTGCGACCCGCCAAAGATGCGACTCACGTCGTCCGACAAGGCTTCCATGATGAAATTGGCAAAGTCGCTCGTGTCTTGCTGCCGACCGGCTTGGAACGTCGGCGGGAGGCACCGCTGGAGCGCGTGCGTCGCGATCGCCGGCGCCTGCGACTGCAGCAAGCGGCCAAACAGCGTCTGCAGCGTCGACACGACCGCATTCGGATTGGTCGACGTGGGCGATGACAGCAGCGCGTCACGGCACGCGCGCGTCATAAAGAGCGCTTGCAAAAAGCTGTTTTGGTAGCACACATTCGTGAGGTTCTGCGACATGTTGACCAGGCCCGAGTAGAACGGCGCGCCGTTGAGCCCGCGGAGACAGTGCGTGCTAGATGTAAACGTGCAGCGCCATGAGCCCGCGCCGTCGCCGCGAAACCAGAGCCCATCGAGCCGACTCTGTGGCGACATCTGGAAGAGAAAGCTATTGGGCACGCTAGTCGACGACGGCTTGTACTGGCCGCGCAACTCGAGCGGCCCGGTCGCCGACGACGGCGGCTGGAGAAGGCCCACGAGGCTGCCGTCGCCGTCGACGTACGACCCTGTGACGAGGTCACCAATATACGCATTATGCGGCGCGTACTCAAGGACCAAGAGCCCGGCGGTCGTCTCCCACGTCGTTGGGCCGGTCGCAAACGGAGCAAGGTCGAAGGGCACACGGGCCATCTTCTGGGCTTGAAGCGACAACAAGGTATCCAAGCGCGCGGTCGACACGGGCGCCGGCGGCGGCGCGGCAGCAACGCTGATTGGGGACGTCGGTGCTGTTGCCGGCGTTGCGACGGCGACGACATCGATCGGCCGAGGCGTCCCGCAAATGTGGCAGATGGTATGCGACGCCTCGTTGCCCATGGTGCATGCACCACACGACCACGGCCCGGATGATACCGATGGCTGCTGCATCGTCTCGGACGCCGCGCTGGCGAGTGCGAGCAGCGCCGTGCTGCTACTACTGGAGCTACCACCGGGCTTGGCCGTGTCGCAGACGGTACACTTGGTCGCGGAGGCGCTGTTGAGCATTGTGCACGCGTCGCACGACCACTCGGCTGCCATCGACGGCGTCTCCAGCAGCGGCGAGAGCAAATCTTGGAGCGGTGTCGGTGCGGCGACCGGGGAGACGCACCCGCACACAGAGCACACTGCCTTGTCGACAGCGTTGATCACGGTGCACTGCGGACAGCACCACAGACTGTACGTTGGCTCGCCGAGCGCTGGCCGGTCCGCCGGTAGCGGCACGGGCTCGGGGCAGTGGCACGCCGCCGCGCCGCGCGACCGACAGCCGCACGCGCCGGCCGCCTTGCCCTTCCAGACGAGCTCATGGCCTTCGTGGCACCACGCCGCGCACGTTTTGCAAAAGACGAGGTTCGTGTTGCAGCTCTGGCAGCCAAACAACTCTTGCGTGATCGCGCTGCCGTCCGTGTGGTACTTGGAGCAGCTCACGGTGGCAGATGCGTGCGCATCCTCGACGTGTGGACCCACGAGGCCATACACAGCACGCAGCGCCGACGTTGTTGTCGCCGACGCCGGCGACACGGCGAGGTGCCAGGCGCCGATGCCAATCGACACGGAGTCTTCAATGTCGGATGTGTTGGGCACGATGAGCCCTGCGCGGAGAGACGACGACGTTGGCGAGAGGTCGAGGGCGAGCGCCACGTCCACCGACACCATCGAAACGACGCGGTCGTTGAGCGCAACCGAAAGCGTCCCGCGGGTTGCGTCGTACGACACCTGCGCCGCGTGGATCGCCGGCAGGAGCGAGGTCGCGAGGCTGAGGCAGTGGACGCCGCCGGCCTTGAGCACATAGAGGCCGATCGCGACACCCGCGTCGTTGGCGTGCTGCGTCAAGTGCACAAACAGCGCTGGCGGCGACGACGTCGGTGCGTGTAGCGCCGAGACCTCGTCAATCAGCGACGTCTGCTGCCAGTACGACACATTAGCCAACGCAATGGTCATCGACGCCTTGGTGCCTGCGGGAAACGACGTGGCGACAGTCGTTTGAAACGAGATCGCGTCCGTGTGCGGCAGGCCGAGCGCGTCGCGGTGCCAGATGGCAGATCCGCTCTCGAGCATCCACGTGGCGCCAGGACGCACGGCGCCGTAGAGGAAAAACCCATCGAGCACACCCCACCGATGCGCCGACACAGGCAGCGCGGCAAGCGACGGTGCGACGGGCCAGCCTCCGTGTTGCATGTACTGACTCGCGTGGTTGCCGTACGGGCCGTGGTCCATCACCAAATGCTCCGACGACCCGACGAGCGGCAAGTACAGCAGCAGGTGCGGCGTGTCCGCCGGGAGCGCAGCCGTCGCGCGCGACTGCAGCATGCCGAGGTCCAGGGCGATCGACCACACGCGGAGCTCGACGATGGACCCGTGCATCGGGTGCGCGAGGCCGTACACCGACGCCGGCAACTGCGTCGGCGACGACATCGTTGTCAACTCGGTCGGCTCGGCGCCAAGCACCAAGATCTTGGCGGCGACACCGTCTTCGTGGGCCTTGACGCGCGGCGTGCGGGCAGCTACCGCACCATTTAGCACAAGGATGAGCTCGAGCTCGTCGTGCACGAGCGCAATGTGGTGGTAGTCGCCGCTGCTCGAGGCGAGCGACGCTGAGAGAACGTGCTGGCCGTACGTCCACACCAGCGTCTCGTGGGGTCCACATGCCAGCGAAAACTCGCCGTTGGCCAAGAAGACTTGGCGTTCGGCGGTCGCCTCGACGCGCACATGCAGCTCGATGGTCGTGCTGCAGTGGCTGTTGACCGACACGGGCTTTTCGACAACGAGGCAATGCGCGACGTCGCCGTGCAGCGTGTAGGCTGTGGGCGACACGATGGAGGCTGGTGGCAGCTGCAGCGATGGCGTCAACACCTGCTTGCGGGCAAGCCACGCGCCCTTTTGCTCGCCGCGACTCCACTGCAGGGCCATAAAGGCATCGTCGTGGAGCAACGCTGTCACTGGCGCGGGGTTGCTTCCGTTCGTGGCGGGCTGGAGCGACGACGGTAGCGGCGGCGGTGCAACCGTGCCACAGGTTGTGCACTTGGGTGCTGCGGCCGCGTTGACGACGGTGCACGCACTGCATGCCCACTCGACGGCCACTGCGATCGGCTGCATCGCGTTCGGCGCGTCATCGGCGAGCAGCTGGCGCCACTGTCCTTCCAGCGACCAAGGCCCCGGCGCGGTCGGCGGCGCCTGCAGCAGCGCGAGCGGCGCGACGGCCGCACCCGAGAGCTCGATCGTCTTCTTTCCATTGGCATAAAAGGCGGCGGTGAACGGCACGGCGTGGCAGCTTGCGATCGTCGACAAGACGAGCGAGGACGCGTTCCGGCTGCGGCCCCCGACCTCGCCATACTCGTCCATCGTCCAGAGCCCTTCGATGCTTGGGAGGTGCCCTGGAGTCAACGCGAGGAGCCACGAGCACTCACGTAGCGTCGTCTCAATGTCTGCGGCACGGGGCTTGGGCACGCTCTCCATGTGCGACAGCAGTGCTTTGAGCAGGTTCGCGTTGCGCTCGGGACACCCGCGGTGCACGTTCACGAGGCAGAGGGCTGTCTGGACAAGGAGCTGCGACGTGGTAGCGCCGACAGCCGTGCCGACGATGCTCGGGTGCGACCCAAACGTCTCGATGAGGCCGAGAAGCGACGCGTGATGGGCCGTGTAGAGCGTCGACGCGTGCTGGTAGCCGACGAGAATCGTGCTGAGAAAAGAGACTGTCTCGATGACGAGGCGGGTATCCGCAAAGAGTGCACCGTCCGCCGGCGCGAGGAGGTGGAGCAGCCGGAGCAGCGCCGGCGCCAAGGACGTGCTGGCCGCGTCCAAGCACTCGAAGCGCTTGGCGACCTTGAGCCCATGAAACGTGTGCATGACGAGCTGCAGCAGCAGGAGTGTTGCATTCGTTGCGCCTAGCGGGCCAGGCTCTTGCACGACGGCGACCATGCGCTCAATGGCCTCCGCGAGGCTCGCCGCCACGTCGTCGGGCGTCGCGACCTTGGTGGCGAGGACGAGGCCGACCTCCTTGAGCGCGTCTTCCTCGAGCATCGGGCCATTCGCGCGCTGGAAGCGCTGCCAGATGTCGAGCACGGGCAGGGGCGCCATGCTTCTGGCGCTTTGGATCCGCACAAAAAGCAATGCCCATATAAAATGCTGGACGCAACCGACTATTCTTTTTTGTTTTTATACACATGGAACCTGGTTTTGTATGTACAATTGATTACGACACATAAAAAATCAATTGGATTCCAATAAAATGATGGCGTTGCGGCCCAGGTGCGCGAACTTGGAGACGCAGGAACCAGCTGGAGGACAGACCCACCGACCAACGACCGGTATTCGTTCGCGTATGCAGCTCTTTGTACGCCTGAGCTTGACGTACGCGGAGCCTTGAAGGAGCTACGCCGCTCCGTGTTCTCTCGATCGTCCACTGGGTTGTCATGGAGTTGCCACCAAGCCAGCAAGACGACTGCGATGTTCTGTCTCTTGCTTGGACGCAGAGTCGTATTCGGATAGCTAGCCAAAGCGAGCGTGCTGCTATAGTTTCAAGCGATGTCGTGGCGTGAACAAATCTCTGGAGGCGTCGCCAAGCAGGCAACATGGGTATGCAGTGGCGCTGCCGACGCACGTGTCTTGCGAGCAGGTGCTACTGGCCGCAGCTCACCTTGTGTAGAGCCCGAGGCTCCTATATCACACATCTACCAGCGACCACATCTACCTTCGCAGCGAATTCCCATCGGTGGCACCTCGACCTTGTCGACCGGCCGCCTGTCTGCTGGAATTTGAGATCTTCCCGCATCTACTCTCTTGTGATTGGCGCGCTCGCTTCCGGCCGTGCGTTTCATTGGCTGACATTCCCTCTTATATATGGCATATGCCACGTTTTAGCACATTTGCATTCGGCACGCCAGATCCTCCAAGCGCCGAGCGACGAGCGCAGGAGCCGTGGTCGGCGCCAGCGCCGAGCGAGGCTGGATAGCCCATGTGGCGCTACTTCATCGTGGCCATGGAGCTTCCACGTAGCGTTCGCTCGTCGCTTTTCCCACCCGACGGGGCCGACGCAGCGGAGCGACAGGGCTCGGCGCTTTTACGCGTCGCTTTTGCACGAGGTTTCTACAGCCTCGGCGCCGGGCCTTCCAAGCCTCATTTGCGAATTCGCCACCTCGGACAAAGACCACTCGATCGCATGCTTCCTCTCCGCTGCTCTGCCCTTCTCACGTCGCTCGCGCTGGTCGCCGGCCATGGCATCGTGACCAACCCGGCGGCTGAGTTCTCGCCCAACGTCATGCGCACGAACTACGTGGCGACGATCCAAGCCAACTTGCCCGGCAAGTTTGACGGCTCGCCGCAAGACAACGTCGCGGCCTTTACGAGTGCCTTTAAGGCGCAGTCCCAGTTCAAGACGCTCCGCGACATGCTCGAGCCGCAAGGGCCAGCGTGCGGCAACTCGCTTCCGAACGCCTCCAAGAAGACGATCCCGTCCGATGGCACCATGACGTGGCTCAACCCCGATACGGGCGAAGGCTTCATCTCGAGCCACACGGTAGACAGGCCATCAGGACGACGACATGGGCTCATACGGCGTGCATAGGGGCCGTGCGAGGTGTGGCTGGACGACAAGCGTGTGTTCCAGAACGATGACTGCCCGACGAACTTTCCGCAAAAGCCCGCGGCCCACCTGCCGGTCGACTACTCGAGCTGCGGTGGCGCTGGCTGCATGCTTCGCTTCTACTGGCTCGCGCTGCACCAGCCCCAGTGGCAAGTGTACAGTACGTTCTCTCTTTCTAGCGGACAGGTCAGCTCAAACAACCTGTCTGGAATGAAAACTGCGTGCCACTGCAAGGCAACGGCCAAGCCGTCAAGGCCGATGGACCGTCGTCGTCGCCATCGATGGCGCCTGCGCCTGGTTGCAGCCTCTCGAACAACCAGTACAAGCAGTAGACGCCGTTATGCCACCGTCTCGTATTTCTATCTCTAACTCTCATTTGTGTTATCTGCATCTTGGTGCAACCCCATCGGCGCTGCATTCCCTGGCCTTTCTGTAGGGCACTCCCAAGAACAGCAGCAGCACAGTGCCAGCAGCCAAAGCGATCCCACCTGGTCCATGATAAACGAGGACGAGGCCGCGGAGCGACAGCACGATCGAGCCACGGACAGTGAGGCCGCATGCATAAGTTTACACACCGTGATAGCAGTCCACAAGCGTTCCAGCCAGCCATGTGTTTGCCAGCTTATTTACGCAACTTTGCTGAGTCGGCCCAGCCCTGAACAGCCGCTGGGTCTCCTGTCGATTTCTAAGTAGCGCGAATGCATGCTCCATGTATTATCAAGACGATATGCGACGTGGCGCCAACCATCTACTCGAGCATCTTGCCGCGCAGCGTCATGACGGCTGTGCCGGTGATGAAGACTCGGCCGTTCTCGATGCGGAGACGCAAAGTGCCGCCGCGCTGGCTCTTCTGGCGCGCGACAAACGTCCGCTGCTTCTGCGGCAGGTGGTCGTTCCAGAACGGCACGAGGGCGCAGTGCGCGCTGCCGCAGACCGGGTCTTCGTTGACACCGCAGTTGGGCGCGAAGAAGCGGCTAAAGAAGTCAAACCCCGAGCCGACCGGCGCCTTGCACGTGATAATGACCGAGCTACCGAGAGAGGGTTAGGGTAAAAATGACTTTAGTCTCCTGCGTACTGCGACATGAGGGACGCGATGAGCCCAAAGTCGACCACAACAGCGTCAAAGGCAGCCGGTGTCAGCTGGCAAATGAAGCTCGGACCGTACTGCTCCAGCGCGAGGACGTCCGTGGCCGAGACGCGGAGCGCAGACACGAGCACGGATTTGGTCGCGTCGCGCCACGCCGCGTCGTGCTCCGTTTTGGCCGACTCGGGAAAGTCCATCGTGATGGCCGGCGTCGTCGTGTCCTCGAGCGTCGTGTACCGCGTCGTCAAGACGCCACTCCTACCACGAGCGCATGAGCGTCTATGATCCACTCGTTGCAGATGAATGAAGGACCGCGTGTGGAACCGGATCGGGTCCGTCTTGGCGCAGTGACCATCTTCGTAGAGCACGTGCGCGGTCGCGAGCGTCGCGTGGCCGCAGAGGTCGATCTCGACACCTACCGACGTTTGGAAGGACATTCAAAGTGTACATCTGACTCTACCTGTCTACCTGGGGTGAACCAACGCAGGCGGTACTCGTTCTGCCCGACATGCGCTTCGCTCAGCGGCGCCACGAACGCCGTTTCGCTCAAGTTGCGCTCCATTGCCACTTGCTGCATCCAGTTCTCGACGCCCGGCGCGTCAAACTGCCGGCAGCTCAGGACGACGACGGCCGCGGGGTTGCCTTCGTACGGCGTTGTCGCAAAGGCGTCGACGACGACGACGTCGAGCTGGCGCGCGACCGTGCAGTCGAGCACGAGCTCCATCCACGCGTCCTTGCCATGGACGACCGGCGACAAGCGCGTGACGGTGAAGCCACACGAAATGTAAAAGTGAACCAGATACGGCTTGGCGATGAGGAGGATGGCCTACCATGGTGCACAGGTAAGATAGCAATCAATGGCCTCTATAGGAGCAAACCTCGTCCACGACACGGCGGACGTACGCCTTGAGGAGCTTGGTGGCGAGGCCCTGGCGGCGAATCGACGGGTCCGTCACCACCGAGTGGATGCAAAGGTATCGGCCGAGCGGGTCGTGGCGCGACATGGTCTCTTCCTCGAGCTCGCGATGCGCCGTGAGCGTACCGTTGACAAACCCGACGAGCGTGGCGGCGTCGTTGTAGGCGCCGACGAAGTAATCGCCGGCTTCCTGGATGCGCTTCCGGATCTGGTCGAGCGACGCGGCCTCGTCCGCCGGGTACGAAGCGGCCTCGATGGCATGGGCGGCCTCGGCCTCTGCGGGCGTGAGCGGGCGGAAGGTGAACGTCATGCTCGGGCGACGGCAAACTCAAAATGGTTGTTCCAAACCGCGACCGTGGATGTGGCCAATCAGCGCGCGTTAAAAAGACGCCTTTCTCGAAGGCTGGAAGATCGCAACGCGAATTCTGCGGGAACGAACGCGTTGACGTCACCGGGTGACGGCAAGCACGTGGTCTCCAAGCAGGTGGCTGATGGGACGAGCGTGCGACCACACGCCGGCGCTGGGCCCGGCCCACAACGCAATCTGTTTCCGAGGTGACGCAATCCACGCTCTGCCCACGCGGTGTCGCGGAGATGACTGCCCATGCACGCGATCTGTGATTCCAACATATGCTAGTAGAGACATCGACAAGCACGGTCTACCAGTATATTAGCATCGGTTTGGCTACGATAGCGAAGCGCAGCTTTCACGCTCGCTGATTCGCATTCGGATCGTTGAGGCACGGAAAGATATGTACTGCACCATCAGTCTTGCAACGCTTGTGCTCCTCTGGCACAGCAGACGCCGGCGGGACGCAATGTCATTTCGTTATTACCAGTGACTCAACTAGCGGTTCTTTTCGAGAAGGATCAACTGTAGTAAGCGCACCCTTCAACGCGTAAAGCGTCATTGAAGCATCTTTCCCCGCAGCGTCATGACGGCCGATCCAGTGAGGAAGACGCGGTTGTCATCGGTCAGACGCACCCCAAGGTCGCCGCCACGCCGACTCGTTTGACGGGCGCGGAAGTGTCGCGGGTGCGTCGGAAGGTGCGCGTGCCAATACGGTGCGAGCGCGCAGTGGGCGCTGCCGGTCACCGGGTCTTCGTTCACACCGACCTTCGGGCCAAAGACGCGACTGTAGAAGTCGTATCCTGACGCTGCCGGCGCTTGGCACGTGAGGACGACCGACCTACCATACAATAGATATGTTCTATCGTCCGACAACTCGATCGTCGTACTGGCAGGGCAGCGTCGCGAGCGCTGCAAAGTCCGGCTGCACCGCGCTGTACGCCGGCGGCCGCACGTGGCAAAGCACCTTGGTGCCATACTCGACAACCGCGAGAATGTCGTATTTCTCAATCTGCAGGGCGTGCGCGAGCGTCGAGAAGGTCTCTAAAAGCCAAGCCTCGTCGTGGTCTTGCTTGCGAAGCGCTGGAAAGTCCATCTCGATCTCGACGCGCCCGTCCGCTTGGACGACGTAGCGGGTCGTGAGCAGGCCGCTCCTATGGTCTGAGCATGAGTCAGCATCAGCGTACTCGTGAACCCACAGCGTGTGGAAGCGAATGCACTCCTTGTTGTCGCAATGGCCGTCTTCAAACAGCGTGAACGCTGCGGCCAGCGTCGCATGCCCACAGAGCGGAATCTCGCAGCCTTCTCAAGGGATGAGAGAGTATTGTCGGTGCATCTGACTCTACCTGGTGTGAACCAACGCAGGCGGTACTCGTTCTGCCCGACATGCGCTTCGCTCAGCGGCGCCACGTACGCAGTTTCGCTCAAGTTGCGCTCCATGGCCACTTGCTGCATCCAGTTCTCGACGCCCGGCGCGTCAAACTGCCGGCAGCTCAGGACGACGACGGCCGCGGGGTTGCCTTCGTACGGCCTTTTCGCAAAGGCGTCGACGACGACGACGTCGATCTGGCGCGCGGCGATGCAGTCAAAGACGAGCTCGAAGTCGGTCGCTTGATTGTACGCGACAGGCGACATGCGGACGACGGCAAAGCCGCACTTGACGTAGAAGGCCACGTGCAACGGTTCGGCCAAGAGCGCAATGGTAGCAACGTGTGTCTACACATCCTGTTGTGCCACCGTCGACGCCTTCGCAGCACGTACTTTGTCCACGAGCCGGCGTACGTACGTCGAGAGGAGCTTGGTCGCGAGGCCTTGGCGGCGGTGCGACGCAGCAACGACCAGCGAGTGGATACAGAGGTATCGGCCACGCGGGTGGTGCTGGGCCATGCTGTCTTCTGTGAGTTCTTGCTGCGCCGAGAGCGTGCCGTTGACAAAGCCGACCAGCGTCGTCGCATCGTAGACGCCAAGAAAGTAGTCGCCCGCGTCGTGGATGCGGTCGCGGATCTGCGTCAACGTCGCAGCCTTCCCAGGCGCGTACGAGGCGACCTCGATCGCGTGGGCGGCCTCGGCCTCGGCCAGCGACAGCGCTCGAAAGGTCACCGCCATGATCGCAAAAGATGGAATGCAAATCCGCCTTGCCAGCGCATCCGTATGGTGGGTGCAGGTAGACTTGAGAAGGCGCTCGGACAGACATGAAGGTGGCGGGACAAGACCCGTCGCATCCGGGATGCCTCGACGTAGAAAGGATCCGTCGTGTACCTTGGCCACGCGGTGTCGAGGGTCAATGCGACCACGTGGCGTGGGATCCTCGCACAGCGTTGGCGCCGCATCCAAGGTGCCCGAGCCTTGGTTGCTCACCTCTCTACAACCATAGACGTCTCGACGTCGCAGTCGTGCTGGCCTTTCTAGGGCAGTCGTGCTGGCCTTTCTAGGAGACAACGAAACGTATGAGCTGTCGAGTAACCGTGACCGGTGGTGTTACGGATCTTGGTAGCATGGACGCGGGCAGCGACGAGGACAGTGCGTCGCCGTCAGTCATCACGGCGGTGCGCGTCCGGCCCATGTCGGACGACGAGCGCAAGGCTGGCTGTCGGCTCATCGTCGCCATGGACGGCAACGCGACGATCGTGACCGACCCCGCCGGCTTGCATGCGCGGGGGGCACCCGCGTCGCCGGCCCACGCCACGACGCTCTGGAAGCAGTCGTTCACGTACGACAAGAGCTACTGGTCGTACGACCCGTCGGACGTGACGTACGCGAGCCAAGCGCGACTGTACGAAGAGCTTGGCACGCACGTGCTACGGGATGCGTGGCGCGGCTTCAACTGCTCGCTCTTCGCGTACGGTCAAACGGGCGCGGGCAAGTCGTTTAGCATGATGGGCAAAGCGAAAGGCAACAACAACCACTCGCACGCGATGTCGTCGGCCCACGACGGCTTGATCCCGCGGCTCTGCCACGGCCTCTTTGAGAAAATCCAAGCAGTCCCCGACGATGCGCGGTCGTACCTTGTCAAGATGAGCTACGTCGAGATCTACAACGAACGCGTCTACGACCTTCTCAACCGCTCCGACAAGGTCGTCTCGTTCTCGAGCTTTATCTCAGGGCAGCGTAGGATGCACTCAAGGTGCGCGAGCACCCCGACCGCGGCGCGTATGTCGAGCACGTGAGCCACCACGTGGTGACGAGCTACCACGACATTGAGTACCTCCTTGGCGAAGGTGCCAAGACGCGGCGAGTGGCCGCGACCGAAATGAACCAAGTGTCGTCGCGGTCCCACGCGATTCTAACCCTCTCGCTGCGGCGCGAGCTCAAGGATGGACAGCGCGTCTCCAAGATCTGCATGGTCGACTTGGCGGGCAGTGAGCGCACCGAGCTCGCGCAAGGCACGCGGCTGCGCGAAGCAGCGTACATCAACAAGTCGCTCTCCGCGCTCGGCGACGTCATCCACGCCTTGGCCACCAACGTGCAGACACCGTGCGCTCCTGATGCGATGTTGGCTTTGTTAACGCTCCGAGTAGGGGCACCTCGTTCGTGCAGTTCCGCAACTCGATTTTGACGCGGCTGCTCAAAGACAGCCTCTGCGGCCAGTCCAAGCTCGTCATGCTCGCCGCGATTAGCCCGTGCTGCATTCACTACGACGAGACCATGAGCACGCTCAAGTACCTCGAGCGGGTCAAGGTCGCTTTGGCCCATTCGTCGCCGCCGCTGGTATGTTTCTGGGGACGATGCAACCTCAAATGTTGGTAGATGGAGCTCACACCATGCGAGACCGACGCGAGTGTCAGCACCCAGCTGCGCCTCGAGATTTTGGCCCTCCGAGGCCAACTGCGCGTCGCTCAGCAGCAGCCGCATCGGTGTCGCGTCGAAGACAGCCTCGGGAACGATGAAATCTGTGACGACGACGCCGCGACGGAGCCAGAGACCACCGGGTGCCACCATCTCGGTGTGGCCCACCTCGTCAATTTGAACCAGGTACATTCTACCTGCGATTCGTCTTCAAGCATGCATACGGTATATGCAACCGACGACTAGGACCCTGCGTTTACCGAAACCAAATTCTATTGCATTGAAGAAGGCGTCACGACCGTCGGGCGACAAGGCGACGGCGACGTCGTGCCCGACATTGTATTGGACGGACCCGACATTTTGCCCTTGCACTGCGTCTTCCATTGCAACGAAGACGGCGATGTGAGCGTCAGGCCGGCCCTTCATGCGTCCATTTATCTCAACGGCAAAGATCTCAGCCAGACGTTCGACGCGTGCCACGTCCCGAACGGCTCGCGAGTGACCCTTGGCGCCCACCACGTCTTTCGCTTTGACCTCCCGCACGTGGCTCTGCCGAGCACGAGTCGCGTGGATTGGAGCTTTGCCCACAACGAACTGCTGGAGACGCTCTTGCCCACGCGCAGCACACCACCCAGCGGCTCCGTACTCCGAGCTGTCTGTGGTGAGAAGAGCACGCAAGTCGAGGCAGTCGTCGATTCCTCGCCTTCGCGTGTCGATGCGGCCTCTCAGTGTTTGGTGTCTGATCGTGCGAGCAGCGACGCAGCGACACCCCTTCCTTCCTCGGACGACGCCAGTGTACAGTGTGACTTGGGATCGACGGCACCACCCGACGTCTTACCAGCAACAACACGTGGTACGTTTGGAAAGCCCGAGAGGTGGCGTTGAGTCGAGTTTGAGGTGTAGCGAGCCAAGACGTGGGCATCAACTGCTGTCTACCGTCACCATCCCAAGACGTCATGGACGCGGCCCAGCAAACCGACACATGGAGCGCGGTGGCGTGCGTCTCGAGTGCGTCGACGCAGACGGTCGAGGACGACACGAGTATCAAGTTTAGCGAAAACGTACATTTCGCCTGGATGGATAGCAATGCTGACATGTGAATTGTTGTCGTAGGACAAGCTTGGCCTCGAGCGCCGAATCGCCAAGCTCAAACTCGAACTCAAAAAGAAAGAGCGACAGCTCAAGGCAGCACCGGCCTCGAACAACCCGGTGACGATGCTACCCGTCTTCGAGCCAGAAGCGCTGCCGCCGCCGATAGCGCAGCCTACGACGCAACGATCGACGAAAGCCTCTGGCGGTTGCGCCAACACTTGGCCTCGCTTCTCGACTTCGGGCTCGCGACGGTACATCATCTACGAGCGCTTCCAATGACGGGAGTTTTCTCGTCTATAGAGCGAATGCCCTACGCAAGACGATCCGGCGTGGCGCCATGCCGTGCTCGTGGACCTCGAAACCCTCGTCGAGGCCGTTCCCAAGCCGAAACTTGACGCGCCGTTGGATGCTAGCCTGCTGCGCATTCGCAATCAGCTGGCCGCCAACCTCGAGCTCACGCTTCCGCCGGTGAGCCGTCGAAAAGGTGCTATCGTACTAAACCGATCTAGGCGACGGAGGACCCTTATGTCGACCCGACGTGGCGAACACAGGTGCTCAGTGACATTGAAGCCATGGTACTTGCACCGCCGCTGCCCGTCACGATTGCGCTGCCGCCGTGGCCATCGAGTCATGCATCGTATGCGCATCTTCTCGAGAGCTATGTGCACGCAAGCCAGCACGAGCTCTCGCAGCTCTCGCACGCGTCCTCGACACACTTGGGGTCGTACGCCAAGACGATTGCGTCGCTCGAAGCAAAGTTCACGTCACTCTGCGTCGCGCTCAACACCAAGTGCCACCAAGAACAAGTGCACTTTCAGGCCCAATTCCAAAGCACGAGCCTCGAGCTCGCGCGCCACGTCGAGCTGAAGCAAACGCAGCTCCAAGCCGCATCCTTTGTCTCGGCGCAGCTCCTCGAGCAGCTCCAGACCTCGCTTCAAGCGCAGATGGACAACGCTACGTCGCAGTACCAGCAACAGCACGAGGCGTGGACGAACGAGCTCCAAACGTTCACCAAGCAGCACTTTGACGCCATGGCGAGTTGCGGCGCCGAGGCCGCCTTCGCCGACGAGCAAGCACGCATGCAAGTGGCCGAGTGGGACACCAAGTGCCACCACCTCGTTGCCGAGACCGACGCGGTGCTCTCCGAGACGCGTGCGATGCATGCCAAGGAGCTCCGGGCATTGCGCGAGAAGGCCGCAATCGAGCTCCGAACCCTCGAGACGCGCCGCATGCGCGATGAAGAAGAGTGCATGCATGCCACCGAGGCGATGCTGCGGGCGTTCGAGGTGACGATGGCGACCCGCGCGCGCGAGCAAGCCGAGTGGGAGACGCAAAAGCAGGACGACCTCGCGGCGCTCCAGGCCGAACACGCGACTGCCATGAGCTACCTCGAGGCGCAGCACACTAGCATGTACAGCCAAGCGCGTGAGGCCCGCGAGCTCTACGGCATGGCGCACGAAGATGCGCGCGAGCGATGGCTAGCGACCGCTGCGCAGCTCGATCGCGCACTCGAGGCAGCGAAAGCGGTCCATGCAGTCGAAATGGCCGACGCCAAGGCCAAAGCGGCAAAGCAGCACGGCCTTCACTGCCAAAAGCTCGCCGAGGCCGCGGCGCACTTCGACGCCCGGCTGGCGGCGCTCGATGCCACGGCCGTCGACGACTCGGTGGCGCATGCGCGCTTCATGAAGTCGCTGCGCGCGCGGCAAATGGCCGAGGAGTCGCAGCTCGCAACGACGGTGCACACGTCGCGCGCGCTCCTCGCCGAGCAGCGCAGCCAGCTCGTTTGGAACGCCAAAGAGGTGCGTGACGCACACGCGTCGCTCCACGCCGAGCACCAGCACCGCGTTGACGAGATGACGCGCTGCCACGCCAACATTGTGCGAGACCTCGAAGCGGCGTTCCAAATGCAAGAGGCCACGCGCGCCAACGAGCTCTTCACGCGAAGCCAGCAGTACGAGGCGGAGCTGGCCGCGCGCGCCCAGCTCGTGCGCGAAGGCCAAGCCAGCGCGAGCATGCAGATCGAAGATGCGATCGCGACGCATGGGCGCATCCTCGAGACAATCGAAGCGGACTGGAAACGGTGGGTCGAGGCGCAGACGAGCGCGCCGGACGATCCATTGATCGGCGTCGATGAGCGCCACGCTGCGTACGTCGCTCAGCAAGGTCAGTGCGATGCCGAGATCAGCGCACTGCGCCAGCGCTGCAGCGATGTCGAGCGCCTTGAAGTCGAGCGGCACAAGCACGTGAACGAAGAGCACAAGCTGCGGCTACTGGCAATGGCGCAGACGCAAGAGGAACACATGAGCCGGAACATGATGACGTGGCACGACGCCGAGAGCCGAACGATGAACGAAGTTCAACGGCTGCAAGATCGGTGCACCACGCAACTGGTGGCGATTGAGAGAGAGCATGCAGTGCAGCGCCGCCGGCTTGAGGAACTGCAAGACGAACGCCGGCAGCAGCAACAAGTGCAGCTCGGTCGTATCCAAGCAAACATGGATGAAGTCGCGTTTGCCCACGCGCAGACGCTGCGGGACATTGACGAGAGCCATGAGCGGCAGCTGGAAGCGCTGCGCGCCGACGCTGCGTCGTCCGAAGAGGCGCGCATGGAGGCGTTCGAGAGCCAGCGCCGGCGGCACGAGTGGGCGATGCACCAAGTCGAGAACGCCGCGCAGGACGAGCACACGCGATGCTTGACGATGCTCACGGACCTCGCACGCGCGCACCGGGAAACGCTTCTAAGTGCACAGCAGGCGCTCAGTGCTCTCGACAACGACCACCGCGAGTGGGTGCGCGCGTTCGAGGTGCAGTGCACGGACGAAAAAGCGCCGCCGAAGCCAGCATGGAGACCCAGTGGCAAGCGATGCAAGCGAGCTTGAACGCGCGCGAGGTCGAGTTCCAAGCGCGCGTCGCACAGCTGCGCCGTGTCTACGAAGACGACGAGAGGCTCCACGCGGACGAAGCCGCGATGCTATTGGTCGCATGGACCGAGCGCCTCACGTGCGTGCACATGGAAACCGAAGACGTCCGGTCGCGCTGCGTCGGCGAGATGCGCACGTTGGCCATTGCGCATGCCGACGCGATCGAGGCGCTGGAGCGCGACCACCAGCATCGGGCAGAGGACTTTGCACGGGCGCGGGCCATGGCGGCGCTAAAGCACCAAACGAGCCAGTGGACGGGCGACGCCGTCTCGCTCAACCAGCAAGCGTTTTACGACGAAGCGTGCGTCGCGCTGGACCGCAAGTGGGAAGCCGCCGTCACCGAGCACGACGCCCGCATGAAAGCTTCGGCCATCGCGCACGCCCAAGCCATCGACGTTGCCCGGCTGCAGCACGAAGCCAAGCTCCTCGAGATGCAGCACGTGGTGCGGGATTTATCAAGCGTCTTCGCGTCAGCCCTCGATCGGTACAAGGTGCGCCTCGACGACAGGCTGGCGGAAGCGCGGCTGCGGTGCTCGTCCGAGGAAGCCTCGTGGCGAGAGATGGTGCACGATGAACGGTCGGCGACGCTGCACGCCGAGCTTGGTGCGCTCAAGCGAGCCGAAGAGACCGCTACGCAAGCGCACAGGACAACCATGCAGGCGACGCAAGCACAGTGGAGCACTCACGTCCGAAACTTGGAAATGGAAGTCGAAGACATTGCGAGCTTCCACGATCGGCTGTGTGCCAACGCCAAGGCAGCGTTCGACGACGCGATCCGTCGCCTGGAGGCACGCCAAGCAAGCACGGAGACGCAGACGCTACGCGAGAAGGCTGAACTTGACGCCATGGCGCTGGCCGAAGCCGAGGTCATTGCCGAGCTCCAAGCATCCATGGTGGTCGCGTCGGCCGCGGCGAATCGGGCGCGCCAAGCTGAGCTGCAAGAGGCGTACGCAGCCCAGTTGCGCGAGTTACTGCACTGGCGACAGCGCAGAGAGAACCTCGAGGCGACGTATGCGGCCGAGATGGACGATCTCCAGAGCGCGTGCCTCCGACTGCTGCAGACAACCGACGTACAACCTGCGCGATCCCACATGACGTTTGCCCGACGAAAACTCGTGCAAGCGCGCGTCGGAATCGCGCTGGCTCGCGAAGGCGACCATCGGGCGAGCAAAGAGCACGAAACAAACTTGGCGGCCATCACGGACCTCGCGATTGAGTGCCGGAGCAACATGGAGATGGCGCTGGAAGACCCAGCCCGTACGACGTTCTTTTCGAATTGCTTGAGGTTGTCATGTGTACTGACTAGGTGCGTTGTATGATGATGACGATCGCTTGGACGAGCTCGACGAGCTGGAGGATGAGCCAGCCAAAGTGCACCCGCTGGAGCAGGCAGCGACGTTCGTCGAGGACGCGAAGGAAGCTGCACCCAGCTTGACGCCACTCGTGCTCGATCCAAAGGCCTTGCCGGCACTCTGCTGTGTGCGTCCCGCGCTGTCGAGTAACGAGGCCGAGATCCTGCATACTCTGGTACGACGTTTTGCCAGGCTAGCGTGGGTGGCTCACAGTGGGAATACATGTGCAGACTCTGCAGGGGAGTCTTATGGAGCGCATGGAGGCCGAGCGCCGGTCGTTCAAACTGCGTTGCGACGAGTACAGGTAAGCCAACGCGTGGGATCAACGGCCAGCGCTCATACCTGCGGAGCGTAGCCGTGGCATGAGCAAACTCCAAGCAGCACTGCGGGCAAGTGAAGAGATGGCGGCTGCTGCGGACGCAAAGGCGCGGAACGACGCCGAGACGATTGCGCTGCTACAGGAGAAGGTCAAGCTCCTCGTCGTCGAGCTCCCGCCGTCCCCGACTGCCGTGCCCCTCGTGCTGCCGAAAGAAGCGACAGTCGAGAGCTCAAACAACACCACGCTGCTCCGTGGCTGGAAATCATAGCAGGCCGCGTCGTAGAGATGGATAGGAGCTGTTTTTTGGTAGACATTAATGTACAATTAGTAGCGGTTACGAATTCAGCGAGCTCTATTGCACGAAATTGGACCTTTGAAACGTTTTCAGGACGATGGGATCTCGAGGGACGAGACTCTGTTTTAAATGCAGACAACTGGGCGATGCAGGCTTGTGACGTGTGGCGTGACCCGGGGTACATAGTTGTTTGGCCACAAAGTTGGATATGGCCGCTGATCGGATTACAGGGCTGATAAAACCTTTTCGGACGATATCTGTGGGGGCATCTCTGCTGGATCCTCCCGCCAAGTGTGGCGATAGCGAAGCATATGAAAACGGTCAGTCTGCAGACGCGAAACATCTGTTGGCCAACCGCCAACGTAGGATACGGCCAAGGAAATAAAAACACTCCTTGATATGGGGTTTGTTGAAACGAGAACTCTTTATATGTACTGTTGAACCTGAAACAATGCGTACTACAAACACACCGACAAACTTGCAACTGCACTCGCGGGCCCTTATGATTGCTTCAGGAAATATTTGTTAAAAGGATGGATTGCACCTGCTCCCTAGCATCAGTTCAAGAGCAAGCACGACGGCTATCCTCTGCTCGTCAATGATCATCTGTATATTTCTGGTGCACGAGCATCCCTGGCCTAGAGCTCTGGCCAATCCATGGGCCTAGGCTAATCTAGGGCGGAGAAATGCAGACCGTTGGTTGGATCGAACGCCAGATTCAGCGTTTTGACGGGTTTGGAAACATCTGGTCCTGCTGGATGGTATATAGTATTTGACCACTGATATAAACCCCATCGGACGTGGATTTTGAAATACTGTATAGCATGTGCACATCTGCATGTATCAGGGCGTTCGTCATCTGCTGTCTGCATCCTGTGTTCTACGCACAAGATCTCATCGCATCGCTGCTCCTTGCAAGGCATTGATGCGAGGAGTCATTCTCCCTTTTGCTTCCATGGTCGCAGTATACATTCAAGGCTTTCTCGCCCTTGCGGCTGTCGCATTCGCTGCTCAAGAAGCTCCGGCCGATGCCATGACGTTCATCAAGCCCGGTGACTGCGACGACAAGAACGGTGGCGGCAAGTGGAATGGCGGTGGTGGCTGGACCATCAACGGAGGTGGCAAGTGGAACGGCGGTGGCGGCTGGAACAACGGTGGCGGCTGGAACAACGGTGGCGGTGGCTGGGGCAAGCGGACGCCGTGCCCTCAGCCTGGCCCT